AAAAAAAAAAAAAAAAAAAAGTAAAATAAAAGTCAACAGAAAAAAATCATGGCATACTCTGTAAATATGTACAGTTTTGGTCAATTATACTTGAGTAAAGCTTGGAAACAAAAATATTAAAAAATCTGAAAAAAGAGAAAAAATACAAAACCCATAATAGTATTAGTTAATAAATACCAAGCACCTTATTTTGTGTTATTACACATAGCAACAATATGCCTAGGATCTTATTCCTTTTCTGGACCTTTCCAAGTTACTATCAGTTATGGAGCAGTTCTATTACCTCTGCAATGAATCTCAACACTTTCATCTTGCTAGTCTCATGGTAGGAACGGAGGCCCCAGAGGAACTCGTACTCAGGAGGGTTGCTATTGGGTACTCGTCTGTAGTCCAGGTATCTGAAAGAGCAAAAATGTCTATGTTACCTACCCAGGCAGAATGGTAGTCCATCCACTGATGCATAATAATCCAAGACTTTGAAACTCTGGATTTCAAGGAGCAATTCTCTTACTCCAAACTCATTCCTAACCACAATCAGGGTATTTACCCTTTACTAATTAGGGCTTTAAATTTCTGTGCCAGTGATTCTACACCAGGCAATTGTTCAGAGCTGCAAGGGAGGCTTGTGTTGGGTCACAGAAAGGACAACACTAATCTAACTCCCTCTGCCAAGGCTCCAGATTCTTATAATCTTGTCAATGAGCCACAGGCCCACTGCCATGATTACACTGCAGTGCAAAAGCCTCTATCTGGCTCAATCTTGGGAATTTCTGCCATGAAGGCAGTGAGTAGGCGTCAGTTACTTGTAAGGTAGCTACAAAATAGAAAAACTCAACTTAAAGGAGTACATACAATAAGCACCCTTGAGTACAAATGTGCTTGTGTGAGCCTATGAGCAGCTAAAGATTAAGATATAAGCTTCAGAAGGGCTTTCTGCGGCAGACCAACACACAGAATCACGAGGACCAGAAAAAGGTCCTTAGGTATCACTTACTTCTGCTTTACAAACTCGTAAGTAAGAAGTTTTCTCAGATCTCCAAGGAGAGGATGTCTCACCCTGATAGTAACCAAAAAAAGGAAAAAAAAAAAAGAGAGAGAGAGAGAGAGAGAGAGAGAGAGAGAGAGAGAGAGAGACTGACTATAACTTTGCCCAAAGAAAAGCAGAGAGCTTTCCAGCATAAGATTAGAGATGAAAAAAGAGGCAGAGAGTTCAGACTGCTTCCCCTTCCACCCAGGTAATATCCCTGGGCTCTGGACCTCCCCAAACCAAACCCCCAGACCACCAGGTTAATGAAATCCTGGGACCATCCTCTGCTGCCAAAGGATGATTCAAATGAGTAAGAGATGACAGAGCCTGATCATACCCAGGACGCAGTCCCATCTTGCGTAGTGCCTCCCAGAGGACAGCTGCAATGGGAGGCAAGAGGAGACAAGGCACGCAAAATGAGCATAGAAATCAGGCTATGGCCAACCCCCAGCTTCAAGTCCAGCTACTCACCCTCACTGGCACGGTTGCCATTCATGAAGATGACACCCAGAATCACTAAGAGGAGCCCCAGCTTGGGTGTGTCTTTGGTCCTAAAGGAAGATAAAAATATATTTTCAGCAGCCATTTGCATCAGACACAGCAGCCAGCTTACCCATCCAGCTTCCCCAATATTCACCAGATAGAGGAGAATAATACCCCAGCTTTGCCCATGACCTGCTGTGCAACCCTGAACTCTGACCCTGACCTATTGGAAATTGTCGGGGTGGGGGGACATCACTGAGAAAGGCCATGTTCCTCCTCCTTTCCCATCTTACGTTCCCAGTATGCCAGCCAGGGACTCAGGGGTACTGATGAGAATGTATAGGTGTTCTTCCTTGTCAATTTCTTTCAGTTGTATCCCAAATTTCTATAGGAACCAAAAAAGAAAGAAAGAAAAGAAATTATGAGATTTAGCACAAGCAGTACCCATAAACAGTCAATCACTTCTCTGTGAGACTTATCCTGAACTCCCAGTAGGAATACCATGAATCTTTAAAATCCAGACTTTTTCCATTATTCCTGTCCCTCAGGGCTGCCTTCTCACCTTCTCCAGGACAAAGCATGCACGTTCAATGATTTCTGGATAAACATCAGTGTATTCTCGGATGATATCCCTCAGCATTTCTATAGGAGAGAGGAGGGAAGACCTAGGTTCAATGGGAGTGATTTCCTGGCCACTTTGCAAACCCTGCTGAGGATAATAATCCAGGGTGCCCAAGCGTGGGAAAGGAAGAACCAGCCATGGAAATGAGGGGCCAGAAGGAGAAAGGACACAGTATAAGCAAAGGTAGCCCACAGAAAATAAGGAGGGGAAAGGCAGAGTTTGAGAAAGGATACTAGCTGCCTACCTGAGCGCTTGATGGGCACCTTTGTGTAGTCTTTAAGCATCAGGTACTTGACTAACTTATTTGCCTGGGAGGGGAGAAAGAAATCATTTAAGTTCTAAGATGTTTGCAGAAAACTTAGTTTATTATTGTGAAGACAACAGGAGAGAGAGAGGGAGAGAGACACGACAGGGTGAGAGAGAAGCAAGAAGGGAGGTACAACTCTTACTCTTTCCTGGAGAAGGGCCACATCTCGGGGTTGTGGGGCAGCCAGGTTCTGTGAGGCACGCGAATTGGGGGAGTGTCGCAGGTTTGGCGAGGGTCGTAAGTTCTGCCAGTCAGGTGGAATTGGCCAATCTGCAGGGATCCAGTCAGGTGGAAGTGGCCAGTCGGTGGGAAATGGCCAATCAGGGGGCAGTGGCCAATCAGGAGGTAATGGCCAATCAGAAGGGCCATGCCAGTCTGGAGGGCCGTGCCAGCCCGGTGTATTCTGCCATCCAGGTGGAGTATGCCATCCAGGTGGATTCTGCCAAGCCATCGGATTTGGCCAGACAACTGGACCAGGCCAGACAATGGGGTTTGGCCAGATCACTGGATTCTGCCAGATTACTGGGTTTGGCCAGATCACTGGGTTCTGCCAGGCAATTGGGTTCTGCCAGGATGGTGGGGTCTGCCTAGCTGGGGGGTTCTGACGTGTTGGTGGGGTCTGCCTGGCTGCCTGGTTTTGCCAGCCAGATGGGTTCTGCCAAGCCAATGGGGTCTGCCAGAGCACATTAGGGGGTGCACCAGGTGGGTTCTGAGTGGTCATTGGAACTGGTGCAGACCTCCAGGTCCCAGCAGCCAGTGGAGCCCGCCTCTGATCACTACTGCTGTTCTCTTCCACATTCAAGTTATTAATCTGCAGCATCAGACAAAAGAAACATCCAGGGTCATTAGTTGGTTCTGTGTGGTCACCCTTGCTATTCCAAAAAGCTCCCCTAAACCCTCATCCGTAGTAAAAGCTTGACCTATTAGCTGTTGGTCACCCTGAGTCACATGAGCTTATCTTTCACTGTCTTCCGGGGAGGAATTTCATTTCCAAACCAGACCAAAGGGAACCCAAGGGTGGGACCTGCGGTTTCTCCTCTTCCAGTAGTGGCTCTACTTGTACCACCCTGAACAAATCACTTAAGTCATTTCACCTTTCTGGGACTTAATTTCCCTCTCTGTAAAACTGAGACTATGATCACTAGCAAGTAAGAAGATTTAATAACATGACCTTTGTGTGTCTAGCTCAAGACCTAACATATGATGGCTGCCGGCAAAATTTAAAATGAATTACACACAGGTTTATTGTCTGTGTGCATGTATTGTCTTCCTATTAGTTTGTGAATACTCAGGAAACAGAAATAAACATTGAACTCAAGATCCCCTGCAGCCTACCTGAATACAGGTAGTTACATTTTTGTTTCATTTTTTTTTAAAATGAGGAGCCCAAATAAAAATGAAGCTAGCAGGGATCTCACCTTGCGGGTCCTCTTGCCCCGAATGATAGTCCGGGACTCCAAATTCTGAGCCAGGGAACCATCTGCTGATGTCTGCGCAGCTGCACCGTCAGGTTCAAAGATACTTGGGTTGGTCTCTGTGTCTGCCTGGGAAGTGGCCGATTTGGCCTGGTTTATATTCTGGCTATGGGTCTGGGTATCAGCTGTAGGGGCCTTAGTGGTATCATTCCAAGCCTTGAAGGCAGTTTTAGGCTGGTTAGTGGCCATCTCATTGGCACAGGGAGACCGAGAGAAACTACTGGTAGCATTTGGGCCCACCTTAGTAGTGACATCCTGGCCTTCAGATAAGGCCACCTCAGACTTACTAGTAGCCAATTCACCTGTGGCTGCTGCCTGGCAAAAATCATAGGCAGCATTTGGGCCCTTTGGAGTGGCATTCTGGGGCTTAAAGGCTGCCTTAGGTTGGGTACTGGATATCTCCGTGGCATCATGTGCCTGAGAGAGACTGTGGACACCGTCTGGGACTTTTGTGGTGGCATTCTGGGTTTTAAAAGCTGTTTTAGGCCTTGCAGCAGCTGCTGAAACCTGAACATCAGCCATCTCACTGGCAGTTGGGAGCTGTGAACACTGGGGACTAGCATTCTGCCCACTGGCAGCTGCTGCTGTGGCCTGGCTGGTAGGTTGAGCTTCTGAGATCTGGATCGCTTCCATCAAGGTCTGCATAAGTAAGGTGCTGTCTTCTACTGAGGTCTCAGCCTGTAAATACAGTGGGAGTGGAATCAATCTCTGGGCCTCAGAAACTGGAGCAACAGGGGTGCAGCACAGCAGGTGAGCTGCAGGCAGCAGTTGGTGGAAACACAAGAGGACCCAAACAGAGACCTAAGGGACATATAAGGGTCGAAGGGAGGCCGAACGGGTACAAACCATGCTCTTGGAGGATGAGGGAAGGGGCAAGAAGGACAAGGCAGTGTGAGGAGCTGTCACGAGCTGGAGCGGTGGGAGCAGTGAAGAAGTGAGCTTAGGGTAGAGCCAGTGAGGCTTGCTGTGGGAGATGAAGAGAAGGGGATCGTAGGGAAAGGGAGGGTGGCATCAGGAGGTTGGGAAAGGGGCGACAGACTGCTCCACAGTCGGGACTATGGGAAAAAAAATGGTTCCTTATCAGCCCGCATTCTTTAGGCAAATTGCCCTGACTACTAACAGGGTCTCCCCTTTCTCTAAGCAGGGACTGATGGCTGAGAAGAGACGCCCCTCCCCCCTTCGATAAACGCTGAGAATTTTATAAAAAAAGACGACGAAGTCTAGGCAAGATAGAGGGGAAAATCCTGGGGACTGAACAACCAAAGGGCACCGAGGGCGGGGGTACTCTCTGTTAGGGAAACGGTGGGGTGGGGAGCAGAAATCTCACCTGGAAGCCGAGGAGGCCCGCACCACAGTCCATTTTCTGAGCCATGGCTCCGGTCTCTCTGGCTAGAGCAGAGCCTGGGGGTTGTGGAAGAGGAGCTAGGCGTTATACTACAGAGGGTAAATACAGGGGCCTAACCGTGTGCGTGTGCGTGTGTGTGCGTGTGTTCTGATTGTGGGGGCGGGTGAGGTGCTGGATGTTGAGAAACGGGCTGGGTCGCAGCGGGAAAACTGAAGAGCTCCCGGATGGAGATTCTTAATGTTGAGAGGCTAACAGAGAAAAGCTTCAAATTGGGGAGTTCTGAATCTGGGGGAAAGGGCTTAGGCTTTGTATTTGGGGGGTTGAATGGAGGTTTTGAATGAAGAGGAGCTTTTAAACATACAGGCCGAGGTCCAGAAATCTGTGAGGCTTTTGTAAGGAACAATGAGAGGGGACTGGACAAAGGTTCAGAAAACAGGGGTTCTAAATCAGGAAGGGACGGGTGGGAGATGTGAATCAGGGTACAGGCAGCGGAAGGGAGTTCAAAATCCTGAGTAAAAGGATCAGGATAAAAAAATTTGGGAAAGGGACCACAACAGGGAGCAAATGTCCTATCTGAGGGCTAATCTCACCTTGCCTCAGGCCCCAACCCCAACCCCCTCGTTGCCTCCCTTCTTCAGGACTCAGAGGACCGGGATTGCTGGGCTGGGCTCTCAGCAGCCGTACTCTTTCCTTCTCCAGGAGAAAATGCCAGCGCGGCAGCTTAGACGACCCCGCCTCTTAGATTAATATAACACCCACGGCCTCAAGACGCTGCGCACGCATGCGCAAGTGCTAACTGGCCGCAAGAGTCCCGCCTGCTTTCCCAACAAAAGCTCTGTCCCGGAGACCACAAAGCGCATGTGCACTGGAGGAGGTCCCGCCCCTCGGCCAACACATCATTCCACCACCAACCAGTGTGAAAGGTTCCTCCCCCTCCTCTGCATCCCCTCCCCCAACAATACGCCAGGCCTCTTGGTCCCACCCCTTGCCCCACATACTGGCCCCTTATCTTTTCCGCAGTGCGTCTCTATGCAGTCCCTGTTTTGTTCAAGTCCCCTCCAGCCAGGTGACTGACACCTCCACCCCCTTGTCTACAGCCACTTAGGTCAGTATTAAGGAGATTTAGGGGAGCGGGGGGTCTGTAATGGCAACAAGTGCTAGACCTCTGCAAAGTTCATACACTTGGCAACCAAGGAAACTGAAAGGCCTGGAGACTACACTCAGTAAGGGTAGTAAAGAGGCTGCCTGCCACGTGACTCTACATGTTCCCCCTCACTATCTTCCAGAGTCAGAACATTACCTTCTACACTGTCCTTTCTGCAGTTAATGCCATGGAAACATTTTGTGAGGGGATGGAAAGAGCAGACAAAAAGGTACACCTTGTATCTCACAGCAGAACCTATGCTGAGGCTTGTTTGCCTCTCATAGCAGAGCTGAGAGGGGGATGTCAACATTCACATTTCACAGATCAAAAAGCTGAGGCATAGACATAACCCATGAATCAAACAGGGCCACTAGGCCAGCAAACGGAAAAAGCAAAATTTGGGCCTGAGACCCTGACTGAGAAGCCCACGTTTTGCTAGCACAGGCCTGGAAATCTAGGTACTCTCTCTTCCTCTGAGTGACTGGCCTCACTCACTCCAATATGTGCCCCAAACAAGAAAATGTGTTCTCCAGGAGGCCTAAGAGCCCATCTGAGCTCCATGTGGGTCTATCCAGATGTGAGACTTACTCCCTGGGGTCTACTCTGTTTCTACTGTCAGATCTCTCCCCTATCAGAGACACCGTCACACTACCAACTCCCAAGTCCCTCCTGGCGCCCAGTGGAGCTGCCAGAACAATCAGATGCTTGTGTGTCTGCTCCACGGCAAGCCCTGGTTCCTTGCAGGGCTGGAGCCTGGGGAAGCCACAATCTTGTGGAAAGAAGCTGTGCTGTGCTTCAGAATTCCACGGGTGAAATGCTCAGCCTGTCTGCCCCTGGCTGTGTGAACTGCCTCGGGTCAATCAACAACTATGAACTGGTTTCTCACTGTGCAAAAACAAAAGAAAAACAAACAAAAAAACACAGTTAAGTGGGTCCTGCCCAAGAACACACAGGCTGCTGCGCTTCCAGGATGACTGGAGAATCGCCAAAAGGCAGAAAACCATATACAGATGTGACGTGATTTCAGTTGAACTGATACTTTTCCAAAATCCAAGGTAAATCCCTGTGCACGTCTCATTTGTCCTGGCATCAGCTTCTGCCAGCAGCCTGCATATGAAAGGAAGCTGAGGCTAGGAGGGACTGCAGCATTTACTCCCCAAGGGCCAACATCAATTCTGCCTGGCTGGATGACTTTCCTCATCTGTTGCATAGCAACCTCCCCTGTCAGCTGCCTGTTTTTCCTCAGCACTTCCTCTGTACAGTGTCTGCAGTGAGACGTGATCAGACTCAAGAAAGGAGGTCTGAAACACCATTTTATGCT